CTGTCCCACCTGACAGAAATTGCCAGTGTGTGGTAGAACTTGAGCTCTCATCTGACTCATCTGAAATACATGCCACAACAAGCGGCAGCAGTCATCTGCACTGTCCCCAAATTGTTGACAAAGCTCATTTTATAGCTCTGTTGCACCTTTGTATTGGCTGAAATGAGTGAACACTCTGCACTATAAAACACAGGAGAAGAAAGTGGTTCAGAAAACAGGCACAAATATAATAGTGTTTTAGAATGAAGGGGAGGTTTTGCAAAAGACAGGACATTTGATTGCTCTTATTTAACTCCAAATAATAATATCAGATAATATGGTTGCAATTTAAGCAAGTATTTCCATATCAGATATGAAGTGCATTGCAGTGAGGTCCCAGGAAGTGAAAAATCAGCCCTGACTGCTCTGAGTGGGCTCAAATGCAAAGCCTAAGAAGAATCTGAGAACAAGACAACACAATTTCCCCACCAGAAGATTTAAATAAAGAGACACATTTTGACATTTAAAAGAATATAATTTAATGGACATCTGTCAAGTTTAACCTTTTATACATGTCATGACTGTTAAATGAAGGAGACTAGTGATAGGCAAATGTATAACAAAGAACAAATAAAAATTAATCTCTAATAGTTTTTATATAAGAAATAATATTAAGATATATATTCTAGTTAATATCTGAGAATTCCAGACATCCTGATAATACACTAAATGTCGACTCTTCCTGGGTAAGCAGTCGTGTGTCCTATTTATTCTACATATCTTATCAATATTGTCATGGTTACTGTCCAGCTGAATTATTAATATATATGTACAAAAGTTCTAAGACCAGTTAGATTTAGAGAGAAACGAAGCAGTACAGCTTTGTACATTGCTTCTGTACCTACAAAAAGCCAAGTTTATTACATCAAAATTCAGAAGAAAGGAGAAATCAAAATCATAGTTGATTAAAGATACATATATTTCACATAAGTAACTATTCGCTAGAACTTGATGAAGTTAATTAGTGTTTCTATCAGCTTCAGTGGGTGTTCAGTCCTCTAGTTATGTGCATGAAGTTCTTGTAATAAAAAGTTAGCTTCAGTAGGCTTTAGGAGCAAACCAAATGAAGATTGGTCTATTAAAAATATGTTCAGCAGACAGCCATAGTTACACCAATACGCTTTTTTACACTCTTAAGCTTTAAATCTCACTTATAAAAGCTGCATTTAAATAGCAAAAAGACAAAGCATGGAATATAAACTAAGATGTTTATTTGAATTATTCATGGTGATCTGGAAAAATGAATTGATAAAGAGAGAATAATAAACGTCCAAGGAGTTTTCATTTTTATTATTTTCTCTTTTCTTTGCCTATTTTCTAAAAAGAAAAAAATCTACAGGACTTTGAGTCCTCTTATGCACCAACTGACTTTGTCGTTGTATGTTTCCCTACTCAGCCAGACTGAACCCAGACATACCAATGACAAATCTGCCGTGGCTTATCCATTAATAAATAGAAAAAACAAAACAACAAAAAGAGACTTTCCTAATACCTAGAAATTCAGAGAGATTATTTTCTACACTGAGAGGAAAAATACCAGCTTTCACTATTTCTAGCTGCTACCTAAAATTCCTGTATATACCTCATTCCCTTTTCTGACAAAACCAAGATCTCCAACCCAGAAGAGCTGCTGAATGCTGCCTGCTGCCATTTACATGGAAGTAGAAAAGGTCTACTGATATGTTTGCTAATTATAACTATTAAGTAGATGTATATCTCACTGGGAAATTTTCTATCAGGTCAAAGAGTTTTATGATAACTCCTCTACAAAAAGCAAGATAGTACCCCAGCTCTCTCTCTCACATTAGGTGAGGGCATTTAAAATTAATATCTGAAAGACAAGAGTCTAAAGACACTGCAGATTTTCTAATGATTGTTTAGTCTGCATTGTAAGAACGTACTTTTAAAGCTGATCACCCATCTGCCAGGGGTGATCACTCATCATTATTGAGACACGGTGACAACCAACAGATGAACTTCTCTTTTACTTGTCACTGATTTTCCTTTCCCATTGAACGTGCTGTGAATGCACCTACTACTGCATTCATCCCACCAACATTTGGAGTGTGGGGCAGCCCTGGCCTGACAAGGCTGGCTCTTCAGCGGAAGTTACAGATTCATGCAGAACTAAGGGAAATGTTGCTGCAAATTTATGGAAGGCAGATGAGTTGATCAGTAGATACCATACCAAACCAATATCAAAGTTTCATAAATCAGAGTGGAAACTTAAACTTGGGGTTTATGCTCCCTTTTTTTTTCTGTGGTGAATGGAAATAGAAACTTTGTGAAGTACTAAAGCTCATTTTTAATAGCACTGTAGGTAGTATGACAGAGGCAAGGAATGCATAAACCCTTTTTTATCTTAATTTCTTATTTTATTTCTCTAAATTCTTTGGATGAGATGCTTCCTGATTTAACGTCAACTGTGAGTAAATACAGTTTTAACTGTAGCTTTTAGTGTAGAGCTATGAAGACCTTCCCTTCCTACAACAAAAATTAAAGATCAAAGATATTGTGGAATAATTCATTACAGAAATAACCAGGTGGACTTAAAATACAGCATATTGTATAGTTATAATTTTTAAGCTTCAGATACAGAATTAAAAATACTTTATCTTTTTATATTTTTTAAGTTTACTTGTGCATTTAAGTTGTGGCCATTTTTTTGAGACTAAATACCTACAGAATTTCAAGAATCAAACAGAGTGCATTTCATAGAATCATAGAATAGTAGAATCATAGAATCATAGATGTTGGAAGGAACCTCTGAAGATTGTTGAATTCAACCCCCCTGCTGCAGCAGGAACACCTAGGGCAGATCAGACAGGAACGTGTCCAGACAGGTCTTGAAAGTCTCCAGGGAAGGAGACTCCACAACCTCTCTGGGCAGCCTGTTCCAATGCTCCATCACCCACATAGTAAAGAAGTTTTTCCTCATGTTGAGGTGGAACTTCCTGTGTTGTTGCTTGGTGCCGTTTCCCCTCATCATATCACAGGGCACCACTGGAAAGAGACTGGTCCATGCTTGACATCCACCCTTCAGACATTTATAGATATTAATAAGGTCCCTCCTCAGTCTTCTTTTCTCAAGACTGAACAGCCCCAGGTCTCTCAGCCTTCCTTGTATAACAGATGTTCCAGTCCTTTAATCATCCTTGTAGCTCTCCATTGGACTCTTTCCAGCATACCCCTGTCCCTCTTGAACTGGGGAGCCCAGAATTGGACACAATACTCCAGATGTGGTCTTACCAGGGCAGTGTAGAGGAAGAGGTGAACCTCCGTTGACCTGCTGGACACACTGTTCTTAATGCATCCCAGGAATCTCTCATCCCAGGCCCATCTCTTGGCCACAAGGCCACATTGCTGTCCCATAGATAACTTGATGTCCACCAGGACTCCAAGGTCCTTCTCCATGGGGATGCTTTCTAGCAGGTCAACCCCTAGTCTGTATCAACCAATCCTCCCAGCTTTATATCATCAGTAAACTTGCTGAGGATACACTCTGTCCCCCCATCCAGGTCATTGATTAAGATGTTGAATAAGACCCAGTATTGACCCCTGGGGAACACCACTAGTCACGTGTCTCTAGCTGGACTCTGCACCATTGATCACAACCCTCTGAGATCTATTGTTTAGCCAGTTCTCGATCCATCTATATGTAAAGTTTCTACCAATGGCAGGATGCTATCACCTACAACCGCATCTACCCCGTCTTTCTCCTGGCTTGAGAAGACCCTTGTCTGCCTCCTCTCTACCAGTCCATATTGATAAAACCACCCTCCTTCCCATCTTTCGTATTGCTGACGCTTTTGTGTTGCTCAGGGCTTGTTTCCTCTCACCATCCTTTTTCCACTTCAGGTGAAACGTTAACTGTGCAGGGCAGAAATGTTTTGAGAAGGAAGAGGTGTGTTCTCTTCCTAACTGTATCACTGCCCTTGTTATAAGTAAGCCATCTTACCTTCCTGCTTGTTTCCTTAACCCCCACCCAAGTTTCTAAGCTTGAGATTCCAAATTCCCACTTAAAAGATAAACGATATTCAAAACACCGGGTATACAGCAACTTCCATTATCTTCTTTCAGCCAAGTTGGACTGGGAAATCTACTGAGGATGTCTTCCTGCAGACATATGATCTTGCATGATGTTCTGTATCTTCTGGTATAGGCTGAGTGCATTAACATTTGTTGAAGCCAACAATAAAATCCAGACTTGCAAATCTCTCTGTCTACTTAGCAATTTGCAAGATGAGTCACCATATTTCTAATTACGTAAAAAAAAAAAAAAAAAAAAAAAAAAAAAAGGAAAAAGAAAGAAACAGAAACAAACAACCCAGAAGTTAGCAAATAGTTACTGCTAATTTACTGAAAGCAGCCATGGGAGGCCAACTAATATCGTAACATGAATAAAAAAAATGTAATGAGAAAAAAACAACAATTAATAAGGCCTACATACCCTTGAAAAAATATAGTAACCTGGGATTTTTTTTTTTGCCCTAAAATGTTACAAAAACTAACACAGACCAATTTACTGATATGAATGCTGATTTATACTAGCCTTTTTTTCTTCCTGTAACCACACCACAATCACTTTAGACTTACAGACTTTGCAAATGGTATCCAAGCTGTGCATAGTTCTAACCGAGCAGTTATAAACCTAAACAGTTAGAATGGCTATTTGCTTATTTATTTATTTATCCATCGAGAGAAATAGAGAAGCTGAAACAATTTACAGAAGTACTGATTTACTTGGGGAAAATGCCTCTGCTTTACTCTCATTAGCTTCCTAGGATGAATGGATGAAGTATCAAAGTCTGATTTCATCAACATACTTGGTAGATAGCAGCAGGCAAACTTTAATTTGGCATATGTGAAGTTGTAGCAATCAGAAAAGTCTTTGACTCTGTCCTAAACATTTTTGCTAGCCCACATCATCATATGCGGAAAACAAGAAGGTGATTATAGACATGGGTTATATGAATGGAAGTAAGTCAGTAGGGATACATGGAATTTATAGCCAGTTACATTTATCAGCATTAAAATCTAGAAAGACCTATAAAAAATACTGGAGTTATGCTGTGATTTCTTGGAATGAAAGCTTCCATCCAGCTTTAATAAAGACATCAAAAATAATTTCAATTTGCTAAATAAGTAAAGGGCTAGATTGAGGTTGTCTTAATAACCCCTGTCATCTGTGAGTTCCAGCAGTCAGAATACAGCCAGGATATGCAACACTGCCTGAAACAGTTACAGAAAAACCTTGTCAGAAAGCTCACAGGGATTTATATGGCCCCCTTGCTGTAAAGCAGGATCACCTACAGTTGCCTCTCCATCAACTGCTAATGGCTTCGCTGGGCTGTGGATTAACTGTGTTGCAAGGCTAGGGGCAGCTGAAAGGCCCAGAGTGAGCCAGCTCACGTCTGTGAGCAGAAGAGTTGTGTTTGCAGGTCGCTGCCACCCCAGCGTGACCCGTACCCGCCTGGGTCCCCAGCCCTGCGCTCACTGGTGTCACCAGCCTACTCCCTTCCCCACTGCATTCTCGTTGTGTGATCCCAAAGACCACCTTACATTCACTGTCTGGTGGTTTGGGACTAGGGTTGGGTTTTGGGGTGACACTTTTTTCCCCCCTTTTCGGGTTACTCTTGATAATCAGAAGCCGACTAGGCCCATACACATAGGAACATACCTGAGGAAGTGAAATTTTTCTAACACAGAAGATACCATTTGGGGTTGTTTTATAGATACAATCCTGCTAGAGAAAGAGTTATGAGAGATCTTAATTATTATTAATGTTGTTATTAAAAACCTTTTTTTCAGTGGTCTCCACTCATATTATGCAACCTTTCTTTCAGCATTTGACTCAGCTGCAAACCAGAGGATAAGCTATTTTGCCCCTATTTGACTCCATTACTAGAAGAGTTTGAAGCTCAAGTTTTTATGATTTTGAGCTGAAATACAGTGTATTACAGCTAGGGCCTGACTTATCTTGGTAATCAGCTACACACCAGTTTAGTCTTTACCCACCAACTTCAGCCTCTCATGCTTTTCTGTCAGGAGTTCAAAGCCATGGTCAGATTAGGAAGTACCTTGCCTAGAATGTTATGAATTTCTCTTGGACATACTAAGCTGAGGAATTAGTTATAACAAATTTTAGATGACATCCAGCCTCCCTCTCATCCTATCTGATTTCATCCATTTTTTACTGCAGACTGCAGTGAAATAAACACAGTATTTTCAGTTTTATAATTTAACATTTAAAATCTTATCAGTATGCAGTGCTATGAAAAGGATTTTTCTGGTGGCCAGATTTTCTGTAATAAAAATGCATAAAATCCCTAGAATGACATACCAGTTTAAAAGACTTCTACTTTTCTTTTGTAAACTGACAGCAAATTGTATTTCCTTGCTAACTGTGCTTATTTGTTAAAAACATTTTCTTTGTGCCAGAAGCTAAAACCAACATGACCTTGAGTATGATAAATTTAAATACAAAATTGCATTTCTAGATATAGCAGTTATTTATCCTGGTATGCTCCTGGTAGATAGCCTTAAATAGATATTGACTCCCTAGTTCTTTAACTTTGCAATTTTAAAGATATATATATTATAAAATATTCAGCTCTGAAAAAATCCTTAGGTTGAATGCACAACAATTTCAGTGATTTAAGTGAAATGTGAAGAAATGCATGTGCAAATGGCCCATCCCATTAATTTATAACTTATTTATAATTTTTATTCATGTATAGTTTCTAAATAGGTGAAAAAGCATGCACAAGTAAAGTAATCATGCAATTGTATTTTGAAATTGCTTATGCAGTTGCTCTGAGGCCATTAAAAACGCAAGCCTTTTTTTTTCCTTTTATGTTCCCTATAAGCAATCACAGATGTATTAGAAAAAAGCTATAAAGAGTTTTTCCTGTCAGTTATTCTGGACTTAAATTTTTAACTACTGAGCTATCCCAAGCTAGCAATTCAACTGAGAGGGAAAGCTTATAGGTCTGATAAAAAACACATCAGAGACTACCTGATAGGATATTTATTTATTATGAACTGGCTCAAAGCAATTCTTAAAAAGATTGTTTCTATTAAAATGAATTCTCATAATCACTTTGCCAGTTTCCCACTATTTTCCACTTAGGGGTTTTGAAACACCTTGCAACTACTCATGTAGTAAGTCCATGGTATCTCTGTAAATAAGAGAGAAATTATTCTTATGTGTTTTAGACTGATTCAGCACCACTTGGATTAGTGGCAGGTTTCATCTTGATCCTTTTTTTCTGGGAGTAGAGATTGCTCATGTGTATAACCTGTTTTCAAAAGAGTTTATGTCAAGAGACTGCTACAAAGGAGACACAAACAATCTCAACATACTGAAGAATAAAAAAGGAATTTAATGTGCAACAAAGACACAATAAGCCACAGAAAAGGAAAAAAAATGCGTAGGAAAAAAAAAAGTATCACTTTAGTACTAAAAAAGCACCAATGTTGCAAAAATTCAGACATACATAAAGACTTCCCACTATATATCAGCCCAATCTTTTAAACTGAAATGAAAACATTTTGGTACTCAGTGTTGGTGGGGGTGGAGGGGAGATGTTTTTTTAATTTTGGAAGTATAAAAGTTATCTTCACCTATGTTATAAAATTAAATTTGTATTTCAGCTCTCATTATTGTGAATATTTGACTTATCAGGAGATTTATGCTGAACACCTATTTCTCACATTGGGAGATTTACCAGTAGGAAGGAGAGTGAGTACATCAGAACAGGACTGAGGAATTAGTCAAGGGGGTAGTAGTTTTCTCATAGCGCTGTGAGCAAAAGCTTCACATTATGCAATGGCCAAGAAAATTACACAGCTCCACTTAGTTATTGCTGCAACTTCATCCAGCCTTGATGTGGCTTTGATACAACACTAACACTACAGGAAAACAAGCCCAGGAAATTTCAGCTGCTACAGCCTGTTTATCAGAATGCTTTTCTTCCTCATATAGTTGTACTCAGCAGTATTTACTAACCTGTTTCTAGGGAAAATTAAGAGATGGATTTCACTTCAGTAGCTGAATCTACTTACTCCTAAGCCATTTGGATCAGTAGACCCCTTAATAATAAGAGGCAGCAAGAAGCAGCAGCAAGCAAATTTCCCTGTAAGGAATACCCCTAGGGAAAGCAGGGATATTGACTTTCCCTGTGAAGTTGTCAGATACCACATTTGCTGATTTCCAAGGAGTACCTCATTGTCCCTTTGGGCTCTTCTCAGGTTTGAGGTAGGAGCATTCTCTACCTTTCCTGTTGAATCTGTGCCACCGTGCAATGAAAGTATTTAGATTCCTGGGGCCAGAAAAGGGAAACATAAGCATATCCACAAGCAGTTTGTGACTTGTACCTAAAGGGCAAGGCATGAGGAGACAAGAATTCTGAATTTTGGTCCGTGTTCCATACATTTTCTGATTTTCCTCCCCTACATGCAGCTATGACTGGGTAAACAGCCTATGAAGCAGGGTGCTAATCCTGTTCACAGCTGAAGCCTCTCTCACTTAGCAGTCAGCTCAAAAGTTTGCTCTCTTTTTCTCAGGGCCCTACAACATTCTTATCTAAGCTGTCCATAGCTGTCCTCTTCATCTGTTTTTGTACTGCTTCTAGCGTTTCTTTGTTCGTTCCCACACAGGCAAACAGGGACAGTAGGTCCAATGAATTCTTTGTGCATTGAGTATACTGCACATCAGTACAGTACATGACTGGTAGGTCTGGCATGTCTGGGAAATATTGAACTGCCTGTGCATGCAATCCAACATGTCTGGGATTTCCATGCTGGCTATGTTCACAAGTCCTGGAAAAACACCTACATATTTTTCATAGACCAGTTCATTTTTCCACATGAAGGGATTAGTACACTGTAATCAGTTCACTTTTCATCTTTTGATACGCTAAGCTTATTGAATTCAAGTCTCTGATCATGTATTGTATTGTGCAGCATCCTCTCTAGCACTGAAATCACTTTTATGATTCCTCTCTGCCCAACCTTGGGTTTGTGAGCAGCGTTTTTAAAGAACACAGCCGCAGGAACCGGGCGCCTCATGCGAAAAGCAGTCGCAGCGACGCTAGACAGAGAAGGTAAAACCCCTTCACGCGCCTCGTCAGTAAAAGACATGACCAAAAGGCAGCGTTTCCAGTTCGTAGGAAACAGAATGTTTTTACAAACTGCTCTCATCCAAATCGCAGTGGGTTTGGTTTTTTTTTTTTTGGTGGAAACTTCTGGTGAATCAAAAATACTCTGACCCCTGCAGGTGCTTCGGCAAACTGACACGAGAGGGCTGAGGCTGAGGGAAGAACCTGCATTTTTGAGGAAACAGTACAAAACTTCTCGCTTAGCGTGCTGCTCCACCCGGGAGCATCGTTCATTTGCTGCAACATTCAGAGTTTAAATGCTTGTCTAATACGACCTTCAGGGTGCTATCCTGACTTAACGGCTTTCCAGAGCACAGGAACACACAGCGGTTTTGGCTGCTCTCAGAGGTATGCATCGGGTTTGTTTACACCAAAACACGGTGCCCTTAATGAGATCAGCTTGTTATTTACTCTCAGAAATCTATTTAAAAATGTAGCACAATATTCAGATCAAACACTGATGCCCAGCAGATGGCTGCTTCTCGTTGTCCATTTGTTGTTGAGATGTGTTAGCTGAATGGCTCTCATCTATGAAACCTAAGCTGTATTGATAGCACAGGAAAACAGACAATTGCCTTGCAAACTGTTGCAGCTAATTAAAACATATGTAGCGATTGAAAATAATCTTTCTACAATTTAGTTTAAGTTCAGAACGGATCAGAATACAGCTGGCTATTCTGATATGATAAAAACATCATTATTTTTAATAATGCTTTGTTTTAGACAAACAGGGAAATTCTTTCTTTTGCAGCATCACATTACACAGCCGCGCTGTGTCCATTAGTAATGGGCCTGTGCTGGCATTTGGGAGCCTTTGCTGCTGGTAGGCACTCCGGCTGGATTGAGCGACAGGGAATTACGGTGCTTGCTAAACCACAACACAAAGGTACGTTACTGCTGACAAAGCTTTATGCTGTAGTTTCTTCTGTTACTGGTGGCAACTTGTCCTTTGCCTTGCCAGCGGGGGTTTTGCCCTTAGACAGCAGCTCCTCCGTTGACCCGAGGGCGGCTTCTCTCTACTAACGCACATGAGCGTGTGGGACTGGAGAAACTGCAGAGGCCATACTTTGGCACTCTCTGTAATAACCCACAGTAAGTTTCCAGAACCTGCCTCCTAACATCTCCCACATCGCTGGCACCGCTACGCGCAACCCAAAACTTCGCAGAGGCCGGAGACCGCGCAGCGGCCGCAGCCCCACCTGCCGAGGAAACGCCTCCCTTCCCTCCAGCCCCACAGCTCCCGGCGTTTGGGCCCGGAGCGTGACACGGATCCCGTTTCTCGGGTGTACCGAGGGGCTTGCTCCTGTTAAGGCAGCGGCGTCTCGGTTCCCTGCGGTTACCAAGCGGAGACAAGTCTGCGGTTTCCCTTTCGGCAACACCGTTCATTTTGTTCTCCCTCCCATCGCTTCTTCCCTCGTCCCGGCTCGGGGCAGGCGGCTCCCTCCGGCCA